GAATACCTGGAGCACAGCAAGTGCTCAGTAATGTTCACTGTTTCAGTAGTTACAATTACGAATAAACATCTCCAAGAATGGAGTCATAGCATTCTAACCAATATCCCAGCAAAGAATGATAATCTCTGCTTAAGTGGTCAGAGACCTGAGTGATTTACCCAGGTTAACAGCTGAGTACACAAAAGAAAAATCAGCTGTTGTTTGTCTTTCATTCACTCACATCTTGAAATGTTTAACCTATGAAGGCAATATTTCCTTTATGTTGTTTCCCTAGCATTTTTCCTTGAGATTTTTTAAAAAACATTTAAAAATACACAAATTTAGAATTGTACATTCTTAGTGTTAGGAAGGATGATCTCCTAGAAGTCACACAGCCCAACCTCTTTCCAATCTGAGAAACCTTTTTACAAGCATCTCCCCACCCCCACTTCTGGCAAATAGTGAATCAGCTTCTGTGCGCATAATTCCAGTGACGGGGAACTCACAACGTTAGGAAACAGCACTTGCAAGTTACTGTGGCCTTCCGCACAGCCAGTTCTTTTTTCTTCATACCATCAGCATCAGAAGTGACTACTCATTCACAATAGCCAAAGGTGGAAACAACCCAAGCGCCCATCAACAAATGAATGGATAAACAAATGTGGTATATCATACAATGGAGTATTATTCAGCTATAAAGAGAAATAAAGTTCTGATACATGCTACAGCATAGATGTACCTCAAAAACATTATGTTAAGTGAAATAAGCCAGACACAGAAGGAAAAATGTTATCTGATGCCATTTAGATGAAATATCTAGAATAGGCAAATTGTTGAAGACAAAAGATTAGTGGTTACCAGGGCCTCAAGGGAGGGGGAGTTGGGGAGCTAAGAATAAACAACGGTCCACTCAGAGCCAGTTCATTGCCATTTCCCCAGAATCTAGACCAACATCTTGGAACCTAAGGGGCAGCCAAGAAATATTTGTTGGGAGGATGGGTGGATTTCATGCCCTCTGTGGGTGCTAGGGAGGAGCCCTGGTGGCACAGTGGTTAAGAGCTACAGCAAGCTAACCAAAAGGTCGGTAGTTGGAATCCACCAGCTGCTCCTTGGAAACCCCTTGAGGCAGTTTTACTCTGTCCTACAGGGTTGCTATGAGTCAGAACTGACTCAACAGCAACAGGATAGGATGGATGCTATTGAGCCCTGGTGGCGCAGTGGTAAAGAGCTCAGCTGCTAACAAAAAGATCGGCAGTTTGAATCTACCAGCTGCTCCTTGGAAACACTATGGGGCAGTTCTATGCTGTCCTGTAAGGTCGCTATCAGTTGGAATCGACTCGACGGCAACAGGTTTGCTTTGGTCTGGGTGCTATATATAAATTAAACATATTTATTCCCCTGTCCTACTATGGCTTAGAAACCAAGGCATTCAAGAATGAACTTATACCTAAATTAAGGAAGTTGGGGAGATTTCATGTGAAATAATTACTATAGAAATCTTACTATCCTAAGACCTATAAATGATCTCAGGCTCAGGTGTTAGCAATAAAACTCTATTTTGACATGATTTATCCACTCACTGACTACAGGGGTCTGAATGGTTGCAGTGGTCAGATGTAAAACGGCCTCATTCATTTTCAGATATTAACACTAACAGGTGCCTAAGAAATAATGACTAAGAATTACATTCATTTCCAAATCTCTTCCTTTTTTTTTAAAAAAAATGTAGTACCATATAACCTATAATCTATTTGAACTTAATCCAATGTCTAAAACTTTATCAGAAATGTATTTCTGAATCAGTCACAAGAACAGACTTTTGAAAGGCTCTGCTTGTACGTCCCAAAAACGTGAATTTAGTCACTGATAACATGCTCTCTTTCTCAAACTCAGTCATTGGATTCATTAACTGCTGTATCGGAAAAGAACAAGGTTTTAATAGTTCTTATATTACATATTAACAAATGAATACATGTGCTTTTATTAATAATAATTAAAATGAGTCACCCTGTCCCAAGCTGATTTGCCATATCTTGCTTTGTCTTTCTCTTCTTAAAGAATGTCATTTGCAGAAAGTTTCAAGTCATGCCCAATGACTCATTTATTGTTCTCTTCACAGAGGAGGTAGGGAAGCATTAGGTACCTGGTACACAGCAAAAGCCCAGATGGCAGAGAATCAGTGGAATTTCTCAAAGTGACAAAGGGCTGGGTGAGGGGGTCCCTTGCTGGTACAACCAGGTCACAAGCCTAAGAAGGCTTGGCGGGTATGGCTGGCTCCATCCCCAGCTCCCTCTTATGCTCTCACTCTTGCTCTTGGCTTTGCCGACCAAGGCTGTGCGCCTTCACCTGGCTCCCACCAGGACCTCCAGGCTCCAGGAATTTAGACCGAGTGGCAGAGACATCATGGGCAGAGATGGCAATCGCCAGCTTCCTTCCCACACTGTCTTGTGATTCAAAGCAGAGTCTGCTCCACTTTTTAAAAGGGACTGTGTTAATGCTGGGGACCACTGGAACACAAGTGAACAAGGAAACACAGCAGTCCCATACAAGAGTCTGTGAGTAAGAAGTTCATCCATGGTGAACCACGGCAAGGATCTGATCGAGCCCAGGGCATCATAGGCTGATTGCTGAGAGGGTTCTTGAGGAAGGCTGAAGGGGCTTTGAGAGCACTGTGACTTGAGGTTTTTACAAATAACCCTGGACTGGGGCCCACCACCTCCAAACACACACACATACACACACACACACACTCCTCAAGATGCCACGGTCCTTCTAGAGATAGACCACCCACTCTGCATTGGTGCTTGACTGCAGAGGGGAAGGGTTGGAAAGACAAGGGTGCTTTTCCACTTTGAGCCTTTATCTCAAGCAGACACCACTGAGCCCAGTGGCCTTACTTGCAGATTTCTTGTAGGGAATGATTTTAAACTGGGCTTCTCTCACATCAGTCCAGTCTGATACCAGAGTTAGACAACTTTGCAAACATTGCTATAGGCTGTATGTGTGGCATAGTCGTTGAAAACATTTTTTGCTTTGCTTGTCTCTTCTTTGTGTTAATTTCTACCTGGTGCTTTCTCTTCCTTAGAGGGGTCCATTTCTGTCATTGTAGCTATGCCGTGTAATTCTTTTTTTTTTTTCTTTTCTTTTTTTTTTTTTTACTATTGTACTTTAGATGAAGGTTTACAGAATAAACTAGCTTCTCATTAAACAGTTAGTATACATATTGTGTTGTGACATTGGTTAACAACCCCACGACATGTCAACACTCTCCCTTCTCGATCCTGGGTTTCCTATTACCAGCTTTCCTATACCTTCCTGCCTTCGAGTCCTTGTACCTGGGCTGGTGTACCCCTTTAGTCTTGATTTGTTTTATGGGCCTGTCTAATCTTTGGCTGAAGGGTGAACCTCGGGAGTGACTTCATTACTGAGCTAAAAGGGTGTCCAGGGGCCATACTCTCGGGGTTTCTCCAGTCTCTCTCAGGCCAGTAAGTGTGGTCTTTTTTTGTGAGTTAGAATTTTGTTCTGCACTTTTCCCCACTCTGTCCAGGACCCTCTATTGTGATCCCTGTCAGAGCAGTCAGTGGTGGTAGCTGGGCAACTACTTGTACTGGACTCAGTCTGGTGGAGGCTGTGGTAGTTGTGGTCCATTAGTCCTTTGGACTAAGCTTTCCCTCGTATCTTTAGTTTTCTTCATTCTCCCTTGCTCCTGATGGAGTGCGACCAGTGGAGAATCTTTAGATGGCCGTTCAGAGGCTTTAAAGACCCCAGATGCTACTCACCAAGGTAGAATGTAGAACATTTTCTTTATAAACTATGTTATGCCAATTGAGCTAGATGTTCCTAGAGACCATGGTCCCCACATATGCTGTGTAATTCTGCTCTCTGTGAAAATGTTCTTTTTTTATGAGACTAACTGGTATCACAAGAGGTGTGATATTCTGGGTCTGGTTAACTCATGTATCAGTGACCATATATAGTCTCAATATTTTATATGCCCCACATAGAAGGCCTGGACTTGAGTCTCAGGCATGCATATTCTGAAATGACTCGCTGGGCTTTCTAAACATCCACATTGTCATCTCCAAAGTTGAAATAATAACACCACACTTGCATGATTATTGTGATGATTAAATGAGAGCATACAGTACAGACCTTTGTAACATGGTATATAAATTTTATTATTATTATGGTTATTAATTACTATTACTGATAGACATGGCAAAGCTATTGGCTGGCTAAATACCAAGAAACATGAATAGGTTATATTTCTTATATTTCTTTCCCCAACATAATGGTTTGTTTCTGACCTAATCAGGGGCTTACCCAAGTTCATACAGCTCATAAGTGACAGGAAACACCAGTTGCCTTCGAGTCAGCTCTGGCTCATGGCAACCTCATGTGTGCCAGCATAGAACTGTGCTCCATAGGGTTTTCAATGGCTGATTTCTCGAAAGTAGATCATCAGGCCTTTCCTCCAAGGTGCCGATGGGTGAGTTCAAACCGCCAAACTTTAGGTTAGCAGCTGAGCACAGACTGCTTGCACCACCCAGAATCAGGCCTAAATTCCAGGCCTCCTAGCCCACAGTTCAGTTTTTGAAAGGATCACAGGAAGTATTTCTAATGTAGACACCATATGGTGGAGGAAGCAGCGGGGTGGTGGGAGCGGAGCTGAGTAACCAAGACAACTAAACGAACGTCTCCCTCAGCCATTCCCAGGAGCCCTGGTGGGGCCACACAATGCTCGGCTGCTAACAGAAAGCGTGGCAGTTGTAACCTACCAGCCACTCCGCAGGAGAAAGATGTGGCAGTCTTGTAAAAATTTACAGCTTTGGAAACACTATGGAGCAGCTGTACTCCATCCTATAGGGTCGCTATGAGTCGGAATCAATTCTAGGGCAATGAGTTTGGTTTGGGTTTTTTGGACCACAGAACCAGAGTGTCCCAGTTCTCTGTGGGATGTAGCCCTCTCTCATCACTGGCCCAGTCTCACCCTGCATCTCCGCCCTCGGGATTGCAGGACCATGAGGCCCGTCTCTGTCATGCTCTTCCTCCTGCACGCCTGCTTCCTTGGAGGAAATGGTGGCCTCCCTGAAGGCCTGAAGTTGCTGAAGACTGAGTCTGCGCTTCGTCTCTACCAGAGTGTGGCAGGAAATGGAAGGGGAACAAACTTCGTCATTTCTCCTACCGCTGTGTCCATCCCTCTGGAGATCCTGCTGTTCGGACCTCGTGGAAGTACTCGCCGGCAGCTGGAAGATGCCCTGGGCTACACTGTCCACGGTAAGAGGCCTGCCCACTCCTCATACCCCGGCTGCCTGGTGAGCCCCTAGGTACCAGAGACAGGCACCTAGAGAAAGATGACTACTTGGCAAGAATGTAGCAGAAGGGATCCAAACTTTGGAGTGGTGATTACCCTCGGTGATTTTTAAGGTTCCCTTCTAATTTCAGAATCCATGGCAATTTTTCAATTTCACTTAACAAAAATTTTTATAGTACATACTAGGTGCCAAGCCTTGTATGAAGCACTTCGTAAATATTAATTTGTTATCACAGCAACCTTATAGAGGTAGGCAATTTTATTAGCACCCCTATTTTAGAGGTGGAGCACTGGTGGTGCAGTGGTTAAGAACTTGGCTGCTAACCAAAGGTCAGCAGTTCAAATCTACCAGCTGCTCCTTGGAAACCCTGTGGAGCAGTTCTACTCTGTCCTATACGGACACTACTAGTTGGAATAGGCTCAGTGGTAACGAGTTTTATTTTTTAATTTTAGAGATGAGTAAATAAGCACAGAGAGTTTAAGCAACTTCCTCAAAGTCACACAGCTAGTGAGTGGCAGAGTTGAGATTCAAACCCAGGCTGTCTGGCTCCAGAGCCCATGCTCTTAACCAATCTGCTTTCATAAATCTGTGACTTCTAGTCAGAGCCATATCTGTGGATGATGTCTTTTACAACAGCTCTGCCAGCTGTGGCAAGAGTCTCCTGAAGGCCAGGTCAGCCTCAGTGGGCTCCCACTCAGGGCCTCAGGCCTACACACCTGGCCTTGGTACCAGCTCCACACTAAGACAGACATCACGTACATAATTTTTCCTTTTCTGCCTTAGAGTACTAAAAACCAAACCCACTGCCATCAGGTCGATTCCGACTCAGAGTAGAACTGCCCCATAGGGTTTCCAAGGCTGTAAATCTTTACAGAAGCAGACTGCCACATCTTTCTCCCACGGAGTGGCTTGTGGGTTCAAACCACAAACTTTCAGTTACCCAGCCGAGCATTTTAACCACTGTGTCACCAGGGCTCCTACCTTAAAATAAGATGTCAATAAAAAAAGGATGGGAGTTATAATTGTGTAAATTTGTTAGAAAACACAAGAACTACATACCACGCAGTCTTGGAGAGAGCTTCCTTTGGGATGGAATCTTTAGCGACAAGGAAAGGTTAACATTCAAGATGTCAGGTCACATGGCTCCAGCTGTGCTGCCTGTTCCTCTCCATCCTCATGCCATCCCCTGCCAAAACGACTCTCGTGACCCTGCTGGCCAACTGACAAACGTGTTTTCTCTCTGGGAACAACTGAACACAAATACAATTTATTGAACTGAATTTTTCTCAGCAAGTATATCATGCAAGCGCACGTACCTGCGGAGTTATTCCTCAGCCACATCAAATTCAGTGCAATTTGGGCTCTTGTTGCAGTGCTATCTGGGGCTGTGCTGGGGACCCAGCAGCACAGATGTGGAAGGAAACCCTAGCTCAAGTTCAGTCTCAGGAACAACACATGTAGAAATACACTCTAATGCAGGTGCAGTCAGTGAATTTATTTGAAATAAGTCAGTACAGGGGGGTGGGGAATGATTTATTCTGCTGGTGGATGGAGAAGCCTCCTCAGAAGAGATGAAGTTTGACTACTACCACTGACTGCTCTGACAGGGATCATAACAGAGGGTCCCAGACAGAGCTGGAGAAAAACGTAGAACAAAATTTCAACTCACAAAAAAAAAAACAAAAACAAAACAGACTTAGTGGTCTGACAGAGACTGAAGAAACTCTGAGAGTATGACCCCTGGACTTGAGCTCAGTACTGAAGTCACTCCCAAGGTTCACCCTTCAACCAAAGATTAGACAGCCCCATAAAACAAAATGGGGCTAATGGGGTACACCAGCCCAGGGGCAAGGACTAGAAGGCAGGAGGGGACAGGAAAGCTGGTAATACGGAACCCAAAGTTGAGAAGGGAGAGTGTTGACATGTCGTGGGGTTCTTAACCAGTGTCACAAAACAATACGTGTATTAATTGTTTAATGAGAAACTAGTTTGCTCTGTAAACTTTCATCCAAGGTACAATAAAAAAGGAGAGATGACACTTAAGCTGGGTTATGAAGAATAAACAGGAATATGAAAAATGGGGGCATGTTCCAACCTGGAAGCAGAGTCTCAGAGAAGTCAGGATTAGGGAGAAAGTCAGAAAAATGCAGGTGTGGTTTTCCTGAAGAGAAGGAAGCTGATGGCAGGCAATCCCCTGTTGTCAGGTATAGTCATGGTTCATAGTTTGTCCAGTACGATGCTTCATACAGTTTCTATTTAGCCCGTTCAAGAATTACCAAATTTCAAGAATGCTTAATAATCATGCTCTGTAGAACATAGACCTACTTATTTTTCTTAATCATAAGCATCTTAGTTGTAGAGCCATGGTAATTATTATGAACAGGAATGTGTCCACTTACGGTTCTGGTTACTAGAATACGCCTGTGCTTTGCCTTGGCCCCAGGACAGTTCAGAGAATTGTGTGTGCTGCTCACAACAACCCACCAGCTCTTGCCATCTGTGGGCCCACACTTTCTTCTAAAAGTCAGTACCAGTTGCTGTCTAGTCACTTCCGACTCCTGGCAACCCTGTGTGTGGTCAGAGTAGAACTATGCTCCATAGAAATTTCAGTGGCCGATTTTTCAGAAGTAGATTACCAGGCCTTTCTTTTGAGGAAAATCTGGGTAGACTTGAACCGCTAATCTTTCAGTTAGCAGCCAAGTGCGTGCTAAATGTTTGCACCAGCTAGGAACTCCTAAAAGTCAATACAGTCCAATAAAACACATGTAAAAAGCAGCAGCAGAGCGTATCTCAAGGTCTTGGGACACTCTTCCTGTTTCATCAACAGAGAGGTCTATCCACATTTGCAGTGCCACACCTCAGCAGTTTTCTTCTCACTGTGTAGCTAGCCAGTATGTGACAAGCAGAAGCTTTGCCAGGATTCAGACCCTCTGGTCTACAAACACAATATGAGATTCAGAACAGTCACCAGTGATATCCCCAAAGACTACGTTTATTGAAATGAAATGCACAATTTCCCAATGTTCCAAGTTATAGAAATTTTCATTGTGTTTCCATGTAAATTAATGAAGACCATTGTACAGCTTTCTGTTAGGCATAAGAACTGTGCCAGGAACCAACGCCTCAGAGATGAAGGTGGCGTGGTCCCTGGGAAAGAATTCTGTTTGATGAAGCATATGGATTTTACTCTTATACTATTATGGCTTTTGATACTCACAGAATCCATATACAATAGCTTGTTGTTGTTATTAGCTGTCGTTGAGTCAGCCCCTGACTCATGGCAACCCTGTACACAACAGGATGGGACAATAGGGTTTTTAATGGGCTGATTTTTGGAAGTAGATTGCCAGGCCTTTCTTCCTGGTCTGGAAGCTCCGCTGAAATCTCTTCAGCATCACAGCAGTGCATAAGCCTCCACTGACACTCAGGTGATGGCTGTGCATGAAATGCACTGGCTAAGAATGGAACCCAAGTACCCTGCATGGAAGATGAGAAGTCTGCCACTGAGCCACCACTACTCTCCATACAGTAGCCACTCTCTATTAATATCTTCATTTTACAAATAAGTCATGAAGGCATGGAGAGGTTAATGACTTGGCGAGACTCAGCTCACCCAGCAGGCATGTAACAGAGCCAGGATTCAAATTCCAGATTTTCTGACTCCAAATCATATGTTCTTTCCGGAATTCCTTAGCCAAAGTCTAGACCACTCAGCAGTTGCATAAATATATAAGCACCCTGCCTTCTCTAGTTCTCACCAGAGGAATCTCAGCCCAACCAAACCCTTTGGAGATCATCCTAAACTTAACTGTCCTTTAGTTCTCTGGCAATTAAAATAACAGTGTCCCAAAGATGGTTCTTGTACTTAGAGAATTTTATATACAGGTAGTCCTCAATTTACAACATATTCAAGTTACCATGAACCACACTTATGACTGTTTTTTTTGTACATCTTGTCATTACTAATATGTACTATATACATACAATGTTGCAGTGTGTAATTTGCTAATGTTATTATCATTCTCTGATGTTCACTCACAGATGTCCAATGTATGATTTACTGTTCAAAACACTGTCATATAGCAGGCTATGAAAACTTAAAAAAAAAGAAAAAGAGGTATTCGACTTATGTCAGAACGGACTTAGGACGGAGTTGTCGTAAATCAGGGACTACCTATATATTGGCTTTATAAAGCCAGCCAGGGATGGGTTAGCCAATAAGCAAGGTACACACAGGCTTAATTGGGCTCAGTCACTAATCTATAGTGCACAATTTCACCTGTTTTTCACGACATCTTTGAAGCCCATATGAAATTGTGCACTACAGATTAGAAGTAGAAACAATTAATCCCCTTGCTTACCGTAAACTGGAGCAGACTGTGCTTACTGGTTAATCTGCCCGTGGCAGGGCCCACCAGACTCAGTGTCACATGCAAGAAGTTCAGTTCAGCAGTCAGATTAATTACAGAGGAATGCACTCTCCACGCTGAAGTCTCCTGTGCGTGTAAGGGATCGTCCACAGAAACACTCATGAGAACTCCATTTCTGCTTTTAACACTTTCCTCATTCTCACACCAACGCCAGGGACCTCTCCCCACAGCCCTCCCCACATCCAGATAAACCCCTAGTCAGCCTGCAGCCCCCATGGTTTTCTCTCCTCCTTCTGCCTCCTTCCCTGTCAGCATCTGATCATAACCACATAGCCTCTTTCCCAGCAAGAAGATGGCTTTCTATTTCAAAGGAGAAAGGTGGAGAGAAATGAAGCCAGCAATTACAGGATTCCCTTTCAAGGGCTGGGAGAAAATTTGGTAATCATTCTCACTGCGTTCATTCTCGCCCCTTCACAGACAAGGATCCAGGAAATACACCACAATGCATACAAACAGGGGCCACTGACTCCATGGCCCACGATCACTTCCAAGAGGAGCGGAGCTATCTTCAGCAGACAGGGGTCTTCCCACCCCATCCATTCCTCACCCTGTGGTCAGGCAGGGTGGTGAAGTATTTGGAGTCAGACAAACTTGTTCAAATCCCAGTTTCACCACCTACAACAGGTTGACACTGAGTAAGCTCCTTAATTTGTCTGAGTCTCAGTTCCCTCATCTATAAAATGGGAATAATGACAGCACTTGCTACACAGGGTTGTTGAAAGGATTAAATGTGAGAATGAATGTAAAATGTTTAGCACAGTTTCTGTAAATAGAATCAACTTACATTATGTTTTCTTCTGGCTATATATATTCTGGAGCCCTGGTGGTGCAGTGGTTAAGAGCTCGGCTGCTAACCAAAAGGTCGACAGTTCGAATCCACCAGCTGCTCCTTGGAAACCCTATGCAACAGGTCTACTCTGTCCTATAGGGTCGCTGTGAGTTAGAATCGACTTGATGGTAACAGGTTTGGTTTTATATATAGACTAAGGAGCCCTGGTGACAAAGTGGTTAAGCGCTCGGATGTTAACTGAAAGGTCAGCAGTTCGAACCCACCAGCCACTCCATGGGAAAGGTGTGGCGGTCTGCTTCCGTAAAGATGACAGCCTTGGAAACCCTATGCGGAGGTTCTACTCTGTCCTATGGGTGGCTGTGAGTAGGAATGGACTCGCAGCAGTGGGAATGGAATATACCGCATACTCTGAAAGCATCTGGACAACCTCTGAGAGAAGCTCTTCCCGCATGCCAGTGGGCATGGACAAAGTTAGCTCAGGTGGAGAAAAGATCTCAGACAAAAGTTTAAGCCACTTTACTCTGCTACTTGAATGTTTCTGGCTAAAACAACACTGGTTCACTGACCCAGAGAGGTGGGAAGATGGCGAGGCAAGCTCGACCACCCCCTAAGACCACATTCCACAATGCGCCAGGAAAATGTCTCAATTCTCCCTACACAGTCAACATTCTAAAAAAGAAAAAAAAAACAAGTTGCATTGAGTCGATCTCAATTCATGGTGGCGACTCCACATGCATCAGAGTAGATCTGTGTTCTATGGGGTTTTCAACAGCTGATTTTTCAGAAGTAGACCATCAAGCCTTTCTTTTGAGGTGGCTCTGGGTAGACTCGAACCTCCAACCTTTTGGTTAGCAGCCAAGCAGATTAACCATTTGCACCACCAAGGGACTCCACAACCTTCTACAGGGACATAATCCTATAAATACAGAAGACCTTCCTCAGTGGAGTAAAGTCTGATTGTCAGTATTTTTTTCATTCATTTCTGTTCTTACTAAAATGAAATGCAAGCACTCAAGTTAGGCTATAATTCATGAGATATATTGTGAGTCAGTCTTTCACAGTTATAAATTCTCAGCAGCAGCTTTGGTAGTGAAAGTTTATGGACAAGTGAAATTGGCCCACTGCTGTGGTCTACGGCCCAGTGGCTGGGGGCACTGCCAGGGTGTGTCCTGGGTGCCCGGGCTCCCTCTGAGGGCTTTGGCCAGGCAGCTGGTGGGTCTGCTGTTATTGGGAGGTCTGGGGAGGGAGGATGTCAGGCCCCACACTGTTCAGAGATTCACCTGCACAGGTTCCCTGGGAAAGCCAGGCCAGGCAGGACTGTGCAGGAAGAAAGTACACGTTGCGTCTCACAGGGAATTTTTATGGAGAGCTGAAGGGCTGTGCCTGGAGGCAGTAGGGCTTCAGTAGTGGAACGCTCACCTTCCATGGGGAAGAGCCAGTTTAATTTCCCGCCAATGCACCTCATGCACAGCTGCCACTCGTATGTCAGTGGAGGCTTGTGTGTTGCTATGATGCTGAACAGATTTCAGTGGAGCTTCCAGGCTAAGACAGACTAGGAAGAAAGGCCTGGTGATCCAATTCTGAAAATTAGCCAGTGGAAAAAGCCCTATGGATCGCAAGAATCTGATACCGTTGCACATGTGTTGGCCATGAGTCAGGGGCTGACTTGATGGCAGCTAACAACAACGGACAGCTGTGCCTAAGAGGGAGGAGAGGAGAGGTCAGGAGAGGGGAAGGGAGGGGAGGAAGTCTGCACAGGACAGGAGCCTGAGTCCTGGAAAAGCCCAGCTGGCATATGACTGGAGTGGGAAGCTTGGGATATTCAACTGTGCCATGAATCATGGGTGGGGTGGCCCCGTTCCAGCCACAGGATGCCTGGGGGAGAATAGAAGCTGTAGCTGGCAAGTAAGAGCATGCAAAAGAAATTCACTATTGATTACGGAGAGGAGGAAGCAATCTCCTGTGTAAATAGTAAATAGAAGTCCAGGTGCCATCCAAGAAGGTGGACACTATGGGATCTCTCAAATGCTTATTGTTTCCCAGCATGGTCCCAGCTCTCACTGACAGTGATAACATGAGCTGTCTAGGGCTTAGAAGAGGTGGGGGTGTGGGGGTGGGAGGAGTTGTTCCTTTCCTCTGTATTTCTCAAATTGAAGGCGTTCTACAACAGACTGTATCCAGATGTCACTCAGGCTTCTGACCTGCAGTCCTGGGAACAGATTTAAGGCCCAGTACGAGACATATTGACCACTCAACACCCTGGCCATTGTCCATCAGTGTTACTTGTGACATTCCACACAAATCTCTTCACTTTGTAAACATCTGAAACGTACCACCCTGCACACCAAACCTGCATTTTTCACAGCCCTCCCTACTCTAGCACTGAACCAGAAAGTTGAGGAAGAATGGCCTCTGGGATGTTAGCAGTGTTTTCTCTTGCACAGCCTGAGTTCTGTCTTGATTTCTTCTTAGTTTTGTATCTGTGGACTCAGGCTAATTCCTGGATGGTTATACTAAGGGAGTTCCCAAGGGGTGCAAACAGCTAGCCACTCAGCTGCTAACTTAAACGTTGGAGGTTTGAGTCCATCCAGAGCTGCCTCGAAAGAAGGGCCTGGTGGTCTAGTTCTGAAAAATCAGCCATTGAAAACCCTATGGAGAACATTCTACTCTGACACACATGGAGTCATCTTGAGTTGGAACTGGCTCAATGGCAACTGTTTTTTTTCCAAATTGAGTAGATAGTGGATGAACCTTATGAAACAAGAGTGAGTTGCTGTGGTCCCATCTCATTGTGCAAAGTGAGAGTGTGTGAACTCACTGCTTGGGCCAGTTATAACTCACACCCACCATTGTTAACTGATCTCAAACTCCCCACCCCCTCCTTTTCACGGACCAAAGGGTGAGAGATTTCCTACACGCTGTTTATGCCACACTACCCAACTCCAGCCACGGTGCGGAGATGGAGCTGGCGAGCACCTTGTTTGTGCAAGCTGGAACGCCACTCTCACACTGCTTCGTGGAGCAGGTCTCTAGGTGGGCTGGCAGCTGCCTGGAGCTGGCCAGCCTCAGTGAGCCCAACCGCACCACCGTCCAGGGCAACCAGCAGGTCTCTGAACAGATGGCAAGTAAAAGAAACCCGTGCGCCTAAATGAGGTCAATGCCAGAGGGTTGTAGAGACAGAGCACCCACCCCATCACTTGGTCACGGGGCGTGCTGAAGGGTGCTAGGGGTCCTTCAATTGCAGTGGAAGTTTGTCCTCCCGAGAGACCTTGTATTTTTGTAATCACTTTGAGCAGACCGAGGAAATCTGTGAAGCCAGAAGAGCTGATCTTGGCTCCTCATCTGCCACGCACGCACGCACACACACGAGCACACTGTCACTACTCCTTCAGAGCTTCCCACTCCGGGACCTGCCCTGCAGGCTTTGTCCCATGCCACTGTCACCAGGTGAGTTCCTGCTGAGCTGTGCCCTCATCAACAATCCACTAACAAACTGCAGCAGGAGTCTGAAAAGTGGTTTCTTGGGAATTACCTTAAGGAAATAATTGAAGAAAACAAGAAGTTACATGCAATAAGATGATTAGCCCAGTGTTGTCAAAGGAAAAACAACTTGTAAACAACCTAATTGTCCAGCAATTAGAGATGATTCGGAATATTATGGCATCCATACTTTATGCAGTTTTAACTATTATTAAAGAAGATAAAAGGCGCTGTTTACTGGGTGCTTTTAAATTTTTATTTAGCACTGATCTAAACATTCCATGTTCATTATCTCATTTTACCCTCAAATTTTCTGGGAGGTAGGTACTATTATTGTCCGCATTTTACAAATGGAGAAACTGAGGCACAGAGAGTTGTGCTTCCTGTCCCCCAACCCCCTCACAGAGCCAGGATCCTAACCCAGACCGTCTGGCTCCAGGGTCCTTGATAATTACAATCATTATGTAGAAGTAGGAAGAATGTTCAAGACCGAATGTTGTTTAAAAACCAAAATAGAAAGTGATGTGTACATTATGATTGAACTGAAAACAACTTGTGTATGGATAAGAACTACAGAGTGAAAATGCAGAAGTTAAAATCTTCACTGATAGGGTGGTTTCCTCCTCCATTCCTCTGTTCCTCCCCAGCTCTGTGTCAACTTTCTATAATGATTCACAATGTCTTTTCAATTTACTTGAAAGTGTCGAACTCCTGTCTCAGCTCTGTGTGCCTCCAGAGGACCTGCTCTCAAGTCCTGGGCTGACTGCTCTCTAAGAAAGAGGGGCAGTGGCTAAGAGCATGGAGTCTGGGGCCAGGCTAAAAACCAGAACCAAACCAGTTGCCATGGAGTTGATTTTGACTCATGGTGATTCCATGTGTGTCAGTGTAGACCCGTGCTCCATAGGGTTTTCAGTGGCTGATTTTTGGGAAGTAGATGCCAGGCCTTGCTTCCCAAGTGCCTCTGGGCAGATTCGAACCCACAACCTCTGGATTAGTAACCTAGCACTTAACCATTTGCAGCACCCAGGAACTGGGGCGAGGCTACTGGAGTTCAAATCCAAAGTTTCTGTCTTGGGAAACTGGGTGGAGTGGATTTGCCACTACCATGTGCGTGATCTTAGACAACTCTGTGCCTCAGTGCCCACATCAGTAAAATGGGTGATAATAATAGAACTGATCTCACAGGGTTGTTGTGAGGAGCTGGTGAGCCTTTGTTACAGCATTTAGAACAGAGCTTATCACAAAGTTTGTGTCTACTAAATAAATAAAGGGCTGGGACAAAAACTTTCCCTTTAGGGGTGAGCAGCCTGCTCCTCTCTCTGGTAATGCATGAAATTTTAACCGTAGCCCTCTGAAGACGGTGCCCTGAACCTTGCTGTCTATTCAAAGGCTCGTCAAGGTAACCAGAGCAGCACTGTGGCCGTGTGGGGCCGTGTGGCGGCGGGCTGCAGGCCTGGGGAGTGAATGTCTAATCATTGCTGGGAAACAGTCCCCAGACAGAACCAGCGGGAGCATCCAACCCTATTCGGCGAAGATTAAAAGCATGGTCTTCAGCAACAGTTAGTTATAAACGCTTACTGATTCAACAATTAACAGATAACTAACAAGTAGGCTACCACCTCAACCTCCCTTAGACTCAGGCCCCACCAGCGCGCATGCGCAGATTTCAGGGGCTGGGTTTGATTCTGAGTTCTTCTCATCCAATGCCCCTGTGATCCCCGCTGGCAGGTGAGGGCCCAGGTGGCCCATCGTGGGAGCGGGGTGAGGCAGCATTTGCTCAGCTTGTAGTCATGAGCTCCATGTCCTTCCAAAGCACTTGGCAGAAGAGATTCTCCTCCACAGATACACGACTTCCGCCTTTCACGTGTGCCGAGGGCCTCGTCCTGCAGGTGCCCGTGATATACCAAGTGGCTGAGGTCAACTACGGTGAGAGCCTCCCGCCAGGCTGCCTGGAGGGTGAGAACGCGCAGGAAGGTAAGAAGAAGAGAGCAGGCCAGAGTCTAGAAAAGACGAGCGCGCAGTGCGACCCCTAGAGGGCCCTGAGAGCAGCGTTCTCCGTAAGGACTAGAAGGAAGCAGATGTGGAAGCAAAACCCAATTTCATGCTTGACATTTCCCTTTTAGCTCAGTAAAGAGTTAATGTGAAACCGAAAAACCGCCTCCCTGGCAGGCACCCCCATAAGCTGAAAACCCGCCTTGCTATTCGGCGGTGAGAAGGCAGGACGGTGCAGATTGCGTTCTGAGAGGCTGTCCATCATAGTCCCAGACTGAGAGGACTGCTGGTCTGAGCTCCGTTTTGAAATGCGCTTGTTCGCACTGATCCTGGTCAAGGTGAGGGGTGAAGCACGGCCGGCGAGTGCCTGCAGCCTCCAGACCCGCAGACTAGTCTGGGGTGTGGGCTGTTCAGCGGGAGCCCAGCACTGGACAAAGGCAGAACCTCCTACCTGCCTGGCCCACCTCCCTCCTTCCACACACCCCTCTCCCCACTCTTGCCTCTCGCTGCAGCTCAGCCCCTGCAGGTGGTGGATCTGATTACTCTTATAATTATTATCTAATAATTCTTATCCGGGAGAAATTGAAGAAGACCTAAGTCAGTGTTTTAGGAGCTTTGGCCTTTAGAAAACTTGCTCCTAGTCCCGGGGGCAGATTTTCCAATGGGCAAGGTAAGCGTGGTGTTTACCTTGCTTACCAGATCATCTGTAGTGAACAATTTTACATTTTTTCACCACATCAAAGATTTTGCTTCTAGGTATGGCTGGCGTCTGTCTCTCTCCCAACCCCACAGCACCCTCCTACAGAATCAAAGCCTCTTTTCACATTTACAATCCCTGACAGGGGTGGATGACCCAGTAAGCAAGGTAAGCACAGGCTTACTTGTGCTTACTTACTAATCTGCAGTAAACAATTTCACGTGGTGTGATGTGGGGAAACCCATGTGAAATTGTTCACTACAGATTATCTGGTAAGCACCGTGCTTACCTTGCCCATTGGATAATCCTCCCCTGACTAGTCCTGCTTTGAGTCTGTGCAGTCAGTCCAGGGCACACAATGAGTGCTCAATAAATGTGTTTATTTGCTTATTCAACCTATCATTACCCACTGAGATCAAGTGAGATGAGGTCGGGAGTCCTTGGGTGGTTAAGCACACCACTATGCCTGACAGTCTGTTTCTGAAAGGTCACAACCTTGAAAACCCCATGTAGCAGTTGTACTCTGCACATACGAGGTTGCCATGACTCCCAATAGACTCCAGGGCAGTTTTGTGTTTTGTTTTTTTTAAAGATGAGCACTGAAGAACATCTGTTGGATAAATAAATCCACATTTACTATTTATTATAGTTCTTCTGCACATTTTATCATTACTATGGTGCCCACTTGGTTGATGTGGCTGTTGGGCTCGGAGGCAGCAGGCAGGTCCCGTGCTGCTGTTGTTCTTCCCAGCACACACAGTGCACAGTAGCTGACATATGATGGATGCGGAGGAAATGTTTATTGAAGAAATAGAGCAAGGAGTAGGCACCATGCCTTCAGAGCCCGCCAACTATCCTGTTCACTAGCACTAGGCCCTGTTTTGATCTCACCAGTCCTAGGAAGAGATCTTGCCTGCAGCTCCACCCCAAGGCTGGGGGTGCTGAGCTGCCAGATCTCCACCTGCCCGCCTAGATTGTCCCATATGACTTGCCTTCTCTCCTGTTCCTGGCCCCGACTGCTGCCCATGCATTCACCAGCAGCTCTTACTGGGTCTCCCTGTCCCTGGCCAACTGTGTCTGCTGCCACCTGCCACCTGTCACATCACACTCTTCTGAAATCATGCTCTGCCTGATGGGCTAGACTTGTCCTCACTGCTTGCCACTGGGCTATCCCCAGCGCCAGCCTCCACCCAGGAGGGTCCAGCCTCCAGGTCCTGGCTCTCCTGGGCCAGCCATTCCCATTGCCACAAGCTCCCTGCTGCCTATCCTGAGACCCATCTGCTTAGGTCAGAGGTTACAAACCATCAGTCCACAGGTCAAATCCAGCCTGGACTCATGTTTTGTTAGGCCTGTGTAGTGTTTTGAAAATTAGGAGATTTAAATCTGGATTTAGAGCTTTCTTGAAAGACAGGAAGATCTGGCAAAAAGAAAAAGAACCTGGGCCCCCATGTGGCCACCACAGGCCAGGATTACCCTGGCTGCCCCTTCAAAACAGGGAACATGGTCTCCCACGTGCCGTTGTCCTCACCGTGCCCGGCCACCGCAGCCCTATGAACACAGGCCCAGCCAGGGTATCTTAGAGATTCTAGGCCTTAGGATCAGAAAAGTGACCATATTACCCAACAGCTCTTGGCCTCAAACTGCCCCTGAGGGTGAGGTAAATACCCTGTTTTATTTGTAATTCTATAAGTTGGCCTCCTCCCAGAGCATGGCCACTGTTCGGTTCCCCCCACTCCTGGGACAGAGCTAATCCCCAATTTACTGAACCCCTCAGGCCAGTTCCAGGACCCGGCGGGACAACAGATCGGAATGCTGGAACTACCTTACTTGGAAAGATCTGTGAGTCTGTTCCTGGTGATGCCCCGTGACAAAGACACCCCAGTGGCCCAGACTGAGCCACACCTCACAGCCAGCATTGTCCACACCTGGACCAACAGCCCGAGGAGAGCCAGAATGGAGGTGTTCCTACCCAGGTGAGTAGCCGGGCCCTCCTCAGGCCTGGATTGGACTAACGTGAGAGCCTGTCCTTATTAACCACTTGTCTGAAGTATCTCCAGAGGTGAGGCCAACTGGAAGTTACCCTAGTATTTGGGTCCCTTTCGAGCTTCTAGAATCACTGCTGCTGACAACCTCATGGAACAGAATGAAATGAACCAATTTCCTGGGATTTTCTCAAGAGAAGGTACTGTGCCTTTGCTACGCCAGACTGGAGGCCCCAGGCCCCCGACTCCAGCTTCTCAGGGGCAGGGAAGGAAGAGAAGTACAGTTACCTTCTAAAAATGTACCCCAAATCCTTTCACATCGTAAGAGTATAGCTATCATTTTTCCAAAACCAAAGAGGTAAGATGGCTTATATAATGGAGAAAATACAGATATCAGAATTATATTGGATATAATTCTGATCAGAAATCCAATTAAGACATAAAAAATTCAAGACTTTAAAATCTCTGTGCTGAAAGTTTTCATTCTTTCTAAGTTGAAGTGAGCCCTCCTTTAAAAAACCCCAACAGGTATAAATACAAATTTTCAAAAAGTTAAATGATGACACTAGATTTTGCTTTTCCAAAGCAAAGCTCATTACTTTACAAAAGGATTCATCATAGAATTTCTTTAAAGGATGAACTTCTCTGGTACATGTGAAATCAGAGTAAAATTATAGTCAACTTGTAGACTAGCATTCAGAGAGGGATGTTGTCTGAGGCCCTTTTGCAGTGTGTGAGTTCTCCCTGCTTCTCCCCACTCACCACCTGGCCCCCTCCACTGGCCAGGCTCTCAGCAGGTCCAAGGAGACTATGCTCCCTGGAGGAGTTAAAAATAAGTCTGTGAACTAGAACAAAATCATACAAAGAGAGACCCAGTGAGCAAAGGGCCAAGGTCTAAAGTGGAATCTGGCAGAGCCAGGTAAAATCATCTCTGTCTCTCAAAGCCAAATATTTGGCCCCCAAATCAAAGCACAAAGTCTGGATATTTCAGCGAATCTCTCTGGCATGGAACAGAAGCAACCCCAACCTTTCTGTTATATTTGAAAGATCCTCAGCAAAGAAAGGGAGAAGAGTTTCTGATGTCACAAGAAGGAAATGCAGCCTGGCGCAGCGATTTACCGCAGTAATTATTTTTTGTGACATTGCCACGGTGATTTCTGGTGATATTCCTGTCTGGTTTGGGTAAAGGGTATTTTCTTTACTCATGTTTTTTTGTACCATTTCTTCTGGACCTGCCTTCATAGCCATACAAGGAAATTGCTCATTTTTTATAGTCACACCTCACTTTCATGTTTTTAGTTTACAAAAAATGATACTATTCAGTTTTATCACCCCCTGTAATCACCCTACTTGGCTTCAAAGAGCCCTTAGCTCTTTCTCAAGACCACTGAAAAACAGCAATACAACAATAACAAATAAAGTGCATGCACTCTGTACTGGGCGCTGTTCTGAGCACTTTACAAGGATTGTTTCATTTAATCTTCAGTCCTGTGCACCAAGCACTACTATTATGCTCATTTCACAAATGAGGAACCTGAGGCAGAGACAGGTTAAGTAACTTACTCTAGGTCCCTCAGCTAGTAAGAGCCACTGAGTCAGGATTCAAATCTCAGTCACTTGATTCCCAAGTTCATGCTCTTGCCCACTGTTGCAGCATTAAGGGTTTTAAAAAAGGAAGTGTTTTAAGTACTTAAGAAAATTTCAAAAGACGGGGTCCACAAACTTTTTGAGAAATGTCAGCATACTTAGAGAAAGCATATACCTTTTCTGAAAGCTATCCACATAAAAACATACCTTCATGTGAAATTCTGATACTTTTGTTTAAAATCTAGGGCACATTGTCTTGTGTATCAACAAAACCTTTGATATTAAATGGTCTCGGTCATTACTTTTACTCTCCTGCAAGCTCTGCATGATTCCACTTCAACCCTTTCTATTTTCAAAGAAAAATAATATCAGCAGGTCTTTTAAAAGATCCTTCAACAGTAAATTTTTATATGGCTTGCCCTTGGGAGATATCATAAATTTGGTTTTCTGCTCATAGAATTTACTGGGAAAACCAAGGTTTTAACTACATTCCTTTCCTCTTTGCCTCAAACGCAACACACTGCATACAGCAAACATAAATATATATTATCAAATATAAACATATTAAATGATACACTCTTTGAATTCTAAATTAGTCAGTAATTTTGTGTGTGTACCTACTATGTGCCAGGAGTCACACAAAATGGGAGGTAGCAAAATGTAGATATTAAGAGCATGGACTCTGCAGTCCAGCCTTGGTTTGAAATGAAGTACACCACATACTAATTACATGATCTTGAGGAAGCTTCTTAAACTCTTTAAGCCTCAGTTTCTCTATCTGTAAAGTGGAGATAATAATAACATATTCATATGAAGATTAAATAAGGTAGTCCAAAAAAAGTACTTATCACAGTGCATAGCCCCGGTAAGCGCTCATTAATTATTATTATTATTAAGAAATATAAAAAAGGCTTGTATAGTCCCTATTCTCAAGTAGTTTACAATATCACAAATAACTGTAATAGAAAGCAAAATATTCTGTATATCACAAGAATATAAAAAAGGACTTTAAGAACCAAAGGTCATAAAATGGCTGGAGAAAACTGTAGGAGTGATGTCAGTGACAATGGCAGAACAGGGAACTCCAAGGACCTGTCTCTTCACAGAAACACCTCAAAAACTGGCAAAAACTGTCAGAATCAACTTTATCAAAACTCTGGAAAATAGTCAAAGGTTTACAGCAACCAAGCTTAATCAAGAAAAAGGTAACTGAAATCCAGTATAGGAGAGTTTTGTGGAGCCCTAGTGGCAAAATGATTAAGAGCTTGGCTTTTAACCAAATGGGCGGCAGTTCGAATCCACCAGCTGCTCCTATGGGGCAGTTCTACTCTGTCCTGCAGGGTCACTATGAGTCAGAATCGACTCAATGGCACATAACAACAACAACAAGGAGAGCTTTGTGGCGTTTTTAACTTACCCTAACCCAACCTCCCTTCCTGGCTCAACGGCAGTCTTCACCGCAGCCCACGCTCCCAGTATGAGTTTCTGAGTGCCAGAGGCAGCATAATTCTTCTCGAAGAATAGTAGTTGTCCGTTTTGATCTGGCAGATGCCTCCATGAAGGACTAATGCAAAGAGCTTGCCTTTATTTTGACTGACTCAGAACTCTTTTAGGACAAAAAGCTGCTACATAAAGGACATTTGTTGAAAACACTTAAAAGCAAATAAAGCAGCCACTGCCACCTGGGGCAAAGAATATCAGTTAGGGCAAACAGCAAATATTAGTTAGGAATGCCAAGGAGCCTAAGAGAAAAAGATGGGGAGTGAAATGATTTGGGGAATAAGCATTTTGAAAAGCTTCCAATATTTGGGGAATCCAGAAGGCCATGCACATGCCCAGGGTGAGCAGAAGCTCAGAGAAGACCTAAGAAGGCCTTAAACTCTCACTTCTGGCTGACCTTCAAGCTCTGTGAAAGCAGGAAGTGAAGGTGAAGGGAGAGTGGTAACTGTCCAGCTGAGTGTTGAAGGTATACCCCAACACACACACCAAGCCTGGCAATAAAGACAGGGAGAGTTTTTTCTCCATGGCTCCAGGCATTTAAGAAAATCTCTGGCAAATCACTAGCTGACCACTAAACTAATGGAACAGAGACTTCAGTCATCACACATGACGAAGAATATAGTCCTTACAAAAATAGCTTAGGAAAGACATTAAACAAGCAAACAACTACAACCCAAAACAAAGAGCAACAACAAGACTTGGGGAGTGGGGAGAATCAGATTTCCATAGTTGCCACATTATAATATTAAAAATATCCAGCTTTTAATGAAAAATTATGACATGTGCAGGGAAACAAGAAAGAATGGCCCATTCACAGGAGAAAGAGAAATTAACAGAAACTGTTCTTGTGGAAGCCCAGATATTGCACTTACAAAAAAAGACTTTAAATCTTCTGTTTTAAATATACTCAATGAGTTAAAGGAAACTACAGGTAAAGAACTAAAGGAAACCAAGAGATTTATGTTTCACAAAATAGAGAATATAAATAAAGAAATAGAAATTACAAAAAGAAACCAAATAGAAATTCTGGAGCTGAAAAGTACAGTAGCTGAAATGAAAAATTCACTAAAGGTAGTAATAAAACAAGTCTGGTACTGGTAAAAGAATAGATATATAGACCAATGAAATAGAACTGAGAAGCCAGAAATAAACCCATACACCTATGGCCAACTGATATTCAATAAGAGTGCCAAGTCCATTCAATGGGGAAATAATAGTCTTTTCAATAAATGGTATGGGGACAACTGGATCTCCACATGTAAAAGAATGAAGTTGGATCCATACCTCATATCATCTATGAAAATTAACCCAAAATGGATCAGTGACCTAAACATAAGAACTAAAACCCACAATTCTTAGAAGACTATATAGGGAAAATGCTTTGAGATCTAGTTTTTGACAGTAGATTCTTAGAAATGACCCCAAAAGTAAAGCAAAAAAAAACACAAAATCGATAAATTGGACTTTATCAAAATTAACAACTTTTGTGCATCAAAAGGACTTTACCAAGAAAGTGAAGAAGCAACCTACAGAATAGGAAAAATATTTGAGAACTATATGTCTGATATAGGTTTAATATCCAGAATATATAAATAATTTCTATAACTCAGCAACAAAAAGACAACCTAATTAAAAATGGGCAAAGGTCGTAAACGGACATTTTTCTAAAGAAGATATGCAAATGGACAAAAAGCACATGAAAAGATGTTGAAAGTCATTTGTCATTAGGGAAATGCAAATCAAAACCACTATGTACCACTTGATACCCCCTAGGATGGCTGGTATCAGAAAAATGAAAAACAAGTGTTGGTGAGGATATGGAGAAATTGGAACCCTCATCCACTGCTGTAAGATGGTGCAGCCAATGTGGAAAACAGTTTGGCAGTTCCTTAAAAAATTAAACA